CATATAAGTGCTTGTATACAATACCAAACCAGGGTCACAGTCTCGTATTCAACGCTCAAAGCTTGAGGGTATTTGTTCAAATGAAATACTATATGGAGGCGCATGAAAGCTAGTAGAATTGCCAGTCTTCTTGGTACGTTGTGTTCCATCGAACAGCTGAAATTTAGATGTGTTTTCCTGCCGATGAAGACGGATTATATAGGTTGTCGTATCATAAATCACGCAAAAAACCATACAATAGCGATTGTTTTTATTAACGATAATTATAATGAATTTTCATAGCATAATGTTTAAAATGTAACACACATTTTGGGCAACAATTATGAATTGGAACAGGTTTACTGAAAAAAGGATTTATCTTGAAAATTGAACAAAATGAAAGAGTAGCCAGCAGCAGGCTAGTGTAAAAATCAATCACTCATGTCTGTTTACAACAGATACCGATCATACAAGAACAAATACTACTAATATTGACAAAATGCTTAAAACCTTCTTATACATTTTTAAATTGGAGCTCAATAAGTTCTACTTGGGTCTCCTTTTTTAATCACTTTTTGTTCCTTAAAAGTCACTTAATGGTCACTTTTTTACTCATTTTAGTCACTTAATGGTCCCTTTTTTACTCATTTTAGTCACTAAAATCACTATTTTTGGATATATTTGGTTCTATCAGCCCTGCATTGTATCAGGGCAAAGGAATCAACAATATCTCAAAATGACAAAACTACATGCGATCAACGAACGCTACTTCATGACAAACGGCCCTTGGAATATAGCTCGCTCGGGTTGGTAGATGGAAACGACCAAATTATTGGTAATCTGCTTCACGAAGTAAAGCCGAAGATGATACATACACGTGTGTTAATGGCAATATTTGTGTTATTTCTTTTCTCGATTCCAATCAAGAACCATGTAGGGGATATGGTTGTAATGTCGGCCTAAATGCCCCTAATTTGGGCCCATACAAAAATTCAGCAATCACCTAAATTTTCAATAGCGATCAAAAATATCCATAAATACTGTCCCAATGACGCGTTCATCTAGATAAAATTGATTAATAGCACATTTTTAGCGATGGGCCCAATCTTAGATCCATAGGCCAACATTAGACCCAATTCCCCTATATTGCAACAAAGCAGACAAGCAATATATCATTATCCTTTTACCACTCCGATCGAGCTGTGTTGCAGCAAGAGTTTGTCGTGGTAGTCGTAGTTAGCGTTTTGTCTTTATCTTTGGTTGCTTTATTTGTTTGGATTCGCTGATCAGGGTTGCTATAAACAATAGTATTTCGGAAGCATGAAATCATCAGATGTTATAATGATGATTAGAACTTTTATGTTGCCAGAAGAGGTTTTAAAGTATGCTTTTTGAAATACTTTATCAAAGCTATTTTTAGCCTGAGGCATCCTGTTTTCTACGACAAACTATCGATTTGAGCTGCGTGTTAACCAGTTATTCTGTTGTCAACAATTCGAAATCAGCCGCATCTTGTAGTGCCGATACCCAGACTGATTTGAGATTTGGGCTTCAATCACCGATTTCTCACGAATAAAACGATTGTGTAATCAAAAATACCTACTGCTAGAAGAATCACTCCCCTGCCTGATTGTGTTGTTAATTTGTGAGATTGACGTTTTATGCGTCAGAATTTGGTCATTGAAGACAATTTTTTTACAAAATCAGTAACGCCTAAGTTATAACTCAGCCTGGATATTTTATTTAAAGATAAATCAGAAGTAACATGACTGCTCAGGCGTGAAAATATGGTTAGATTTAATCTGAAAGACGACTGAATCGTTTGAATACATTCTGCGAAGTGTTTTGATGAAAAATACAGTGAAATATCAACGTTTGGTGCCGAAGCCGTCATTTACCCTAGAATGTTTATGGCCAATTTTGACTCATACAATTTAAAAAAATATATATGAACGATTGTCTTAGCAAGGCGAACGGATCTAAAATATTTCAATAACTGTCTACGTAATTCATAGAACGCCCCTTGCATTTAATTTTTATCGATTTCAAAATTTCTTAAACAATTTCAATTTTCAATCCCTCATTTTCCAAAATACGGGCTAGTGACCAATTATTCCTAAGAGCGTTTTTAACTACCGAGGTATTAATTTTTATTTTAAATGTTGACCTTTATCGTAACGTTTTTCAAATTCAATAATTTGCAAAATATTTCATGATTCAGAAAAATGTACTTTCATTTGCTTTAAATATGGTTAGTGGATTAGGATTAAATTGATCATGAATTTTGTTCGATATGTTTCATAATAGAGAACTGTAAAATATCAACAAATATCGCATGCATATCTAAATTTGTAAGTTTAGGAAATCCAACAATTATATCTAAATAACTGCAGCTATGGAAATATTAAAACGATGAAATCCTCCTTTATTGCGTAGCTTCTCAGATTTATTGTACTGTCCGTGTTACTCCATGTTAGTCAGAGGAGCAGAGGGACAGGCAAGCATCCAAAATGAACATTCAAAATGAGCATCCAAAATGAGCATCCAACATGAGCTTCCAAAAGGAGCTTCCAAAAGGAGCTTCCAAAAGGAGCTTCCAAAACGAGCATACAAAATGAGCTCCCAAAATGAGCTTCGAGAATGTGTTTCCAAAATGAGCTAAGGGATTTTCAGTGGAAAAAACTCCTCTTCAATCCTTCAGATTCTTATAGTAATCTGCATGGAAGTCGATTTGGATAAAAATTTACTAGTACTGCCCCTAAAATGGAATTTTTACATAAATCAATAATTGATGCATGTTTGATGCTATTCAAACTGGAGTAAAATTTGCAAAAAATATTGTCATGACTTTAAAATTCAGTAATGGATTTTAAAGCATTAAATATTTTAAATTGGATTGGAAATCTCTAAAAGATAATGAAGACGAGTTATTTAACTTTTTGAGAGTTCATAACGTGCATATTGTCGTTAAAACTGAAACGTTCCTTAAACCTGACCGCAAATTATTTCATTTTTAGTAATGATGTTGTCATAATTGTTTATAGACGAATCAAACATAAAATTATTTCTTCATTTGACACCAATGTTTTTGAAACTTTGGAAGTTTCTGTTGAAACAAAATTTGGACAACTTGGCCATTCCAATGCGTAGGCCAGCAAAAGAATTTGCTCAAAGGTGACCTTCAGAAACTTACCCGTCATAGGTATAAATTCTTCATTATTGGTGATTTTTATGCAAAACACCGCTCATGGAATAGTGCTCAAAGCAATTCCAATGGTAATATTCTGATTGATGATTGTTCTGCAGGTTATTACACTATACAATATCCAAACAGCCCAACATGCTTTTCTTCTGCAAAAAATCCCCCAACTATTGATTTGGTCTTAACTGATTCATGTAGCCAATTGGTTACCCATGCAGACTTCGGTTCTGATCACCTTACAATAACTTTTGAAATATCCCAAGAAATAATTTCTAATCCCAACAGCTCTACTTTCAATTACCATAGAGCTGATTGGGAGCAATATCGAACATTTATGGAATATAGCTTCGATCCAAACATTCCTTTGCAAACGATCTTCAGCTCTTGATCCGTCTTAAAAATGTCCGTAGGAGACAATATCAAAAAACACGCGATCCTGCCATAAAAGTTATCTGGCGGGATTTGCAAAAACAAAATAAAAAGCGATTCTCTGCCCTTCGGAACAAAACTTTGAAAATAATGTTTCAAATTAGACCCGAGTTCCAAACCCTTTTGAAAACTCACAAAAATTTTGAAAAAACCTCAAAAGCCTATTCCAGTGCTTAAAGAAGGTGGTAAAATTTTGATCACAAATTTGGAAAAAGCTCAGAAACTTGCTAAGCAATTCGAGAGTTCCCATAATTTCAGTTTGGGTCTTAGTAGTCCTATTGAGAATCGGGTTGCTCGGGATTTTCTGAATATTTTCTCTTGGGAAAATATTTTTGATGATTCCTCGGGGACTGATTTGGACGAATTAAGGTCTATAACTAAAAAGTTTCATAATATGAAAGCTCCAGGTGATGATGGAATTTTCTATATCCTCATCAAAAAACTCCCAGAGAGTACCTTGTCTTTCTTGGTAAAATTATTTAATAGATGTTTCCATTTGGCATACTTTTCTGATAAATGGAAAAATGCAAAAGTTGTTCCAATTTTGAAACCGGTTAAATATCCAGCTGAAGCTTCTAGCTACCGTCCTATAAGTTTGCTTTCTTCAATAAGTAAACGTTTTGAAAAGATAATTTTAAATAGAATGATGCTTCACATCAATACGAACTCAATTTTTGCAGATGAGCAGTTTGGATTTTGCCATGGGCATTCAACTACTCATCAACTCTTAAGAGTCACCAATTTAATTCGTAAGTCCTTTCAATTCATGAAGTTATCAGGTTTTTTGATGACCACCGATGTGTAGATTTTCGTTAGTGCAATAATAGAGAAAGATTTTTTTTTAAATCTTTATAATAGAAATTTTTAGCCGAAGGCTAGTTCATCTCTTAAATAGGGCAAGATCATGGTGCCTAGAAATTGAAAATTAAGAATATTTAATAACTTTTTCTTTGAAAAAGAACAATAAATGTTCAAAATGTGACCTAAAATAGGCAATTAATTAACGAATTATAATTTTACAGCTGATGTGGTATTAGTTTTGAATGAGTCATTTGTTTGATACGCCGAAGTGAGAGGCTAGGCTGACATTACATCCCGTAACCCTATAGGGGAAATGCTCCTATAGTTGCGGTACGTTAGATGCGTTCGGTTCCTATTGTTGTGTATTGAGTCTCCATGCACAACTATAGGAACCTAACGCTTCTTACGTACTGCAACTATAGGAGCGTTTCCCCTACTAAATCAAACTGTAATTGAATAATACCAGAACATTATGTTTAAACAGTATGATGCTTTCACATCATCATGTTGCAAACTGTAATTATAAATACCTATCTGAGGAAATTGACATTAATGCTAAATATGTATAAAAACGATGCCTTCGACTCACCTGCCGTTCGGTGGCCGACACATTCTCGGCACTGCGCGCCTTCCGGCACAGGACCGACTGCGAGCCGTACCGCCGGATGAATTCGATCGAGTCGAATCCTCTGCCCTCGGACGAGACGAATATCGCCGAGTTGATTCGGGCTCTTGTGCATCGTTCCGAAATGACTGAAGAAGGTTCCTCCGGCCACGGATGAAAAGGCTGCTGCTGTGTGGTGTGAGTGCGCGCCGGATATGGGATAGCCGACATTTACAGGTACGCGCGCGGAGTCGGGAGAAGAGGAGGGAAAAAGAAAACCAGACAGTTTGATTAGGCCTCATCGTCTTACCTACTGAAATGGGGTTGGTGGCATGGCAAATATATATACATATAAAAATATTAATTTGAAGGAAGCGAAACGGAACGAACTTAATTGGAAAACCAGAATAGGCGGAATTATTAATTAGGGAAGCCGAGCGTATTGCTGCGTTTCTTTTTTAACAGAATAGGATAATAAAAAAGCTATCATACAATAGATGGAAGCTATAGAAATAGTAGAGCACTTGTAAAGAGATAGAGAGTAAATATTTAAGATTAAGCAATAGCACACAGTTTCTGTAGATTGTATAAGTGTATGTTATAAAGACTAACAGTCCGACTGGGAATGGAAGAAATTTGCTAGCGGGGAAATACTGTGGATATTGAACCGAAGTGATTCTTGTGGCAAAGGAAAATTCATCGCTCGATTATAGTGGGTGTGGACGGAGTAAAAAATGAATGGGAAACTTTTTATGTGTGACGTGCTGATAGCTGTTTGGTTTGGTAGCGAATGCGGCGGGTGGTTGAGAGTTGTGAAGAAATAGTCATAACGAAAGAGAACAAAATATCATCGCGAAGAACGTGTTTAAGAAATATGATAAAACTTTCTCGTCTTGACTATGGTTAGTAGTTGTGGCGGTGCAGTTATTCATGGTGTCCTCAAGTTAAGCGTGTCAGGATGGAGTTAAGGAGCAGTTTATTTGAGTGCTTTTATCGTTGGGATCAGTGCTGTGGGGAGTCCTCGGTAAAACTTATCATTTAAGTGTCTTTATTGTAGCGATAAAGATCGTTGGGATAAAGTCTTCTCGCAACGGCACAAGAGCTGTACTTCATATAAAGTAGCATCCAAAATAGCCGGAATGTTAACATGAAATTGAAATATGTTTATTTCTTTTACGCTTTTGCGATATTTTTGCGATCCACAATTGGGTCCAACTAAATTCAATAAATAGTCAGACACCACTTCAAGTGATGTGCCCAAACTTTCTTGCATCTGGTATGTATATTAGGGTGCTTCATTTTGGGAAAAAAATGTTTCCAACCTACAATTCACATTTACCTTAACATTTGAACCTGGACAATAAGTGGTAGATAATGATTGATGAACACACTTAGTTTTTTCTACCGAGCTCGGCTGTGCAAATCTCAGCAAAATAAGTTTCACTGAGATCTCAGCAAAAGTGACATTTCATTGCTGAGTCTCGGATAATGCTTAGCTGAATCTCAGCAAACAAATGAAATGTTTGCTGAGATCTCAGTAAAGCTTTTTCTGCCGAGATTTGCACAGCCGAGTTCGGTAGAAAAAACTAAGTGTGAACATATGTTTTTAAGCATATTATACCCAAACTAACCATTGGAAATTAAGATCAGAACAATGTATTCTTTAATTGCATCGATATTTTCCCAGATTCTCCTGAATAAACTCTCCTGATATTTTAAATCTCGTAATGTATTACCAGTTTACGGCTGATAATTGGCCTTCATCTTTTATTATTGTTTTAGCTACAGGCAACCGTCTCATAAAAAGGTTGATCCCCATTCAGTTTAGAAATGTTGCACGATAATGATGCTTGTTGAAGTTTCAAAATTTATCGAAGGGCATACCTTTACTTTGATATCTTTGCATTAAGCCTTTTATGCTCCCTTGCAAATATGGGGGGAGAGCATTTCTAGCTCAAATCGTTAAAAAAAATGTCAATTTTGTCTCGACCCCTTCTGATTTGAATGAAACATTGCTCACGTGTTCGCTGCTACTAATGGTTGCATTTTTCATTTAAATATGATTTTTTCCTCCAGAGTAACTTTTGAAAAGGGCGTATAAAAAAATGGATTATTTTTTTTTCTCCAAAAAATCATAACTTGAAAACTATTGATCTGATCAAAACGGCATATGAGAAGAAGTTTTAGGTAATTAAATTATCTTTGCGGAAAAAATACACTGAAAGAAAAAACTTCGTAAATTAGTATTTAAAAAACGTAAAACGATGATTATCTCAAAACACCCCCCCTTCGATCTTTATAATTTTTTTTTTCAAGAAAATTGATGGATTACCCTTAAATTTCGTGAAAAGTGTATGCTGGTAACTTTCTTAAAAAGAAAGCTATAATTTTTAAAATTTTTGTTGATTTTTACAAGTTGATGAAAATGCATATTTTTTTATAAAATAATAATTTATTTGGATTCTACGCATAATTTTCGATAACTTTGCATATTAAAACTTTTTTCCTAAGTCCAGCCGTTCTCAAGTTAATGCGAATTAAAAAAATATAATTATAACAATTTTCAACATATTAGGCCATTTTCAAATGTTCGTCGAGATGTCCAGCAACGAGATTTTATTTCATGATTGTATATTGAAAACCAAACAATTCATTCTCAGATATGGTAGCTGTCAGACTTACCCGTTTCTATCTAGAGGCAGTGGAAGAGAAGCACGTTGATGTGGTCAAATGAAAGATTTGTTGAGATAAGAAACAGTATATAGGGTAAATTATGGCTTCGGCACCCATTGACTGTTTTCGGCAACCAAAATTGAAACGTTAATTTCACTGTATTTTCCCATCAAAACTCTTCGCTGAATGTATTTAGACGATTCCTTACCTTTTCAGCTTCAATCTGATTACATTTTTACGACTGTGCAATCCTGTTATGCCATATTTTTCTTTAAATTAAATATACACACTACAAAATACGGCTGATTTCGAGTTGCCGATAATACAACAGCTGGTTAACACGCAGTTCAAATAGAAAGGGTGCCAAAGAAAAAGAGACTGCCGACAATAGTCACACTCACCTGAGAAGTTTGGAGCGTTGTAAAAACATGTTCAACCCGTTTTGATCAATTCTGTCGATTGGAATTGGTAGAACAGCAAGCAGCAGATAAATGTCAACAAACAAACCTGTCATGTATGTGTGTGACGCTGAGAAATCGCTAATAGAAGTTCGGACGCTGCTTAGACTGACGAGAATACGTAAATTCCCCTATTTATTATTTTATTTTACAAATCATATTATTTGAATACATTGAATAATTTGGGTGTATCGTTTGAATTAGAGAATATTTTTACTGCAATTTGGTTGTTTGAAACTGGAATATAGCAATGATATTTTCGAGTTCCAGGAATTGGTTTCACTTTCTTAAAAATTGGATCAAATTCCGTGTCAGCCTTTTTGTATTCTTCCGTAGAAACATAACAAAATTACATTTTTGTTTGAAGATCTTCTTTACGACTATTTGCCCAGTCGTACAGTTGTTTAGGGTTCGTTATAGGGTGCTCGTGTTGCTTAGCTAAACTTGCTCTGGTTGCCATTATCTTAAGGGTACCGCCAATCGCATCACAAGGACCTTTGCCGTGTGAAGTGCCATTCCATTTCTACATTATGCTTATCTTTAAATCCACAAAGGCTAGCAAATTTTTTTATGTTTTTGTATTGTGATGCTGCTCTATCTAACATAAAAATACACTTTTGGACTGTTATTTGCGACTTTAAAAATTCTAATAATTTTGAGATAAACAACTGAACTGCTACTGTGTCATGCTTTGAAATTGATTTAGGTAGAGGTTTACAACACTTGAAATTGTTATCCATCGTAAAAAACTACTTGCTTTTTAACTTGAAACGCTAAGAGAGATGAACTGAATGGAACAGGTGAAGAACTTGACTTAAATGATCTTTATTTCTTGTATTGTGTGGTTTACATGTATACCTTATCAAGTGACACAGATGCGTCTTTTCAGCTTTAGTTCCTTTTCAATTAAAATTATTATTAATTACAGTTCCTAGTCCTATCACGCCTGTTTTAAGAATGACCACCTTGGTGGGATTGGTTTGTTTAAAATTTGAAAAAAGGAGACTACTTATAACTACTATTTACAACTACAACTAACCTACAACTACTATATACATGTTCTGATAAAATACATTTTTGTGCAAATTTAGTCTTAATTTCGTTAATTCGGGAATCTATTTTGGCAATGCCTGCCTCTTCATGTAAATTTGTTATTCTAGTGTTGAAAGGACGATCAAGAACCATCCTCAGCACTCTATTCTGAGTGATTTGGATTTTGTTCCTGTGAGTCTGTGCACATGATTCCCACAGGGGAGCTGCATAGAGGATCGCAGGCGCTATGATTTGTTTGTAGACAGCCAGTTTGTTCACCCTTGAGAGGCGGGATCTGCGGCAAATCAGCGGATACAGAACAGGTGAAGAACGTCCCAATATATATATATATATATATGTAGCAGAATAATTACAATGTTGACATTATACCTATCTTCATTAGGTACAATTGATTATAGCAAACTTTTTTAAGTGTGAGTGTAAGAAGCCTCCACGGGGTGCCTTTTTATGTAGTTGTGATATCGCGGGATGAGCTCTTAAGGCACAATATGGTATACGTCAGAGAAGTACCTAGAGAATTTATCTCAATTACAGGTTTAATAACATATTTGTTTACCTGTTTATGTTTTGAGCCTCTGTTATGACATACACAATTCTATCTAGGTATACAACTAATAGAGGACAGAAAAAAGGCACATGAGTGGGTTTGTTGATTATTTGGGTATATTTGAGAGTATTTACTTATAAACTTGTTTCTTTTCCGCTGCGTCTAAATAGAAACGGGTAAGTCTGACAGCTACCATATTTGAGAATGAATTGTTTGTTTTTTTAATATATATTCATGGAAAAACATCTCGTTGCTGGGACATCACGACTAACATTTGAAAATGGCCCAAAATGTAGAAAATTATTATAATTATTTTTTTAAATTGCATTAACTTGAGAACCGCTGGACTTAGGAAAAAAGTTTTTATATGCAAAGTTTTTGAAAATTATGCGTAGAATCCTATTTTACTAAAAAATATGCAATTTCACCAACTTGTAAAAACCAACATAAATTTCAAA